TTCCGGGTGCAAGCGACTGACACTGAGGCCCTTGCAGATCAACTCCAACTTCCCGTCGGTGATCAACTGCATCGCTAATCGATGTCAAAGCCACAATGATCGACCCTTTCTGTGCGCACACTGACAGTGGTGTTGCAATTGCAACAAGTGGCGGTGTCTACGGCTCTTTCCCTTTGGGGATTGTTTGGTCGCTCATGTGCCAGTGCGCCAGCGTACCTTCTTTATTTGTCGAGTCTTCTCATCTGAAGTTTGTACAACTTCGTCATGTTCACTTTGCCCTTCCTCTCGAAGTGTTCTTCCACAACGGAAAATTTCTCTCAATTCGTTTCTCTCCCAGAGCTTTTTCTGTCAGACGGTGTCACCAACTGAGGTCTCGGGATCGTCACGTCGCTAAGAAACAAGACACCTGTTCGTCACGTCACTCTGCAGGACAGATCCTTGAATCGCTGCCAAACGCCGAAGATTAGGTGCGAAATTATCGAGCTTCCCACCAGCCTTCCTCCCCTCGTTCTCAGATGTTTCTCCAGTTATGTTTCTCCGATTGTCTGAGGTTGCCAGCGCAACCTCTGGGCTCAGAAGCTAACCAATGCGGCCTCCTTTACCCCTCAATGACACCAAAAGTCTGCGGATAGTGAACGCACCACGACAACGGCACACAACGTTGCTCAAGTGAGCATGTGGCTGGTCTCTGTGGTGCCTTGCGCGCTTATGGTTCTAATGATCTTCAATTTACCAAAGACAGCATTTGCCGAGGTTGTACCATGCCGCGTGGGAGACACAGATCAGACGATCAGGGACAGCCTTGCTATATCAGCACTCAGCCCGGTGATTGTGCTCTCAGGCATGCCTAATACGGACGGCCAAGAGCTTCGCGTGGTGTGCAAATGTTACGAGTGCCATTTCCATCGTGAGAGGGATCGTTGGACAAGTCGGTCCCGAAAGGCTATCTCAACAAATCAGAGAAAATATCAAACGAAACGAGACTGCGAAATGGCAAGAGCGACAAAGTGCTCTGCTGTTTGACATTGCACCATATGTGGCGGTCTCCGTACTCCTGTTGCAATCTATGGAAGTTCAATGCGGATGGATTCGTTGCCCAACGCAGCCGCAAGCCGAGTTTGCCACCGCAGATGCACCCCAGCTTGCCCAGCTTTGGGGGTACTCAACACACTGCAACCCCTGAATGCGCGATGGGGGATGGAGCGCTGCAGTACCACGCATCCTGCACTGCAGCTATCTACTTGCTCGCGAGGATGGGGGCTGAGGGAAAGACCATGCAGGTCATATGTGTAGGCCATGCAGGTCATTCGAGCACGCCGCTGCTGCAGCCAGGTCGCGTTGCTGGGGACGACTGGCATAGTACTGGTACTTTCAAGCCACTTTCGCTGCTTCACTCGCCACAGCTCATGGGGTTCAAAGTACTTTTGTGAGGGGGTTTACTGATTAGAACTCTAAAGGGGTGGGCACAAGGGGGGCGTGCATGAAACCGTGCTTTTGCCAAGACCAAAGCGAACAGGTACAAAGTGAAAGGTTGCGTGCCAGCGTGCGTCCGTTCTTCCCGCATGTCCCAGCACCCACTGTCCCGGGCCCGCTTCTCCCGTGACACCCCTCCCAGCGAAGCCGTTCCCGATCCGGGCATGCGGATGCCGATCACTTGGCTACGCTCCCGCCGGACCCAGTGAGCTAAGTTCTTCCGTTTACGGAAATGAGCAGCAAGATGGGAGGAAAAAAAAGTTTGTTCTCTACTCCGCACAGGAGGGGCAAGCAAAAGATGCCACAGCTGCTGTTGGCCCAGAAGGGCTTTGAGAGGTGCGTGTTACAGCTCTAGACCGGTCTTCAACTGATGAACGGGGATTATCCGGGCGGCTTGCAGTTTTCGGTCATACAGAACACAATGTATTGGTGCCTGTACGGCATTTCCTGAGCACGGGGGGTTGTGCGTGTGTCACAGGCGCCGAGGAACGTCGTACGGCCTCGCTCGGCAACATACCGGTCGACTTCGACTCTCGGAGCCGTCGCTGTCACCGTGGGCAAAACTGTCGATTTTCTTATTGGTCTTGCCGGAGCGCGCGTCTACTTCAGCGAATTGGCCAATGAAGATGCGAAAGTCGCGTCTTTCAGCTGCGCAGGGGTGAACCATGGATCTAAGACGTGGCGATGCATGCATGTCTGACAGTCCGCTCTCGCGCCGGCGTCTTGTCAGGGGAAATCTGCAACCGCCCGAGCCAATTGTGTCTCCCGGCATCACGATCTGGGGGGCGTGGTGGGCCGGTCTCGACTCCAACTGTTGGTACGGGCTGTGGCGATTCCGAGGTGAGCCTCAACATTATGCCACAATAATAAAGCCGCACATGTCAGGAGATAAGGCTAAACGGACCGCATGAGGCTGGGCCCAATCAGAAACGAAAGAACACGCCGTACTTGCGTTTGAGAAAAAAGGGAAACTCTCACGCCAATTCGCCACAATCATTCGCCCAATCTGTGGAGATATTCCGTGAGAACCAGTCACTAGCCACACAACCATTGATAACTGATATGCATATAGCAGGAGGGCCCTCTATTCGACGATATAATTAGGAACCTCGCAGCTGCGGTTTGAAGGTCTCGACCATGCGTGTGCGTGATGGAGTTATGACGGTATGTCTGCTTTTGGGTCGGCGTCGTCAGCCGCAATGACTGGAATAACAAAACAGTCTGTGGACGGTTTATCGCAGGCCACGTATCGTTAGACAAAGAAGAAGGCTCGCCACAGCACTGTCCAGAAGGCTTTTTTTTACAAAGATATCAGGTTAAAAACTAACTTTTCAGCCACAGCGTAACAGAACACGAGGTTAGCAAGTAGTTTTCGCCACCTCTTGCGTATCAGTTGCGTCAAAGTACTATGTAGAGGGCAAAGCCACAACTGCCCAATCAGGCGAGCGCCACAGGCAATGCGTACATGTTATTGGTTCTTGTGCAACCGGACTTGATGCCTGTCCGTGAAATCGTGGCTGACGATGTGGCTGAGATAACAGTTGATATTGTCGCTAGTGTTAGCACCGGATGATCTTCTTCAACTTCGAGACGCTGGGGGAGTGTGCGGTATAGAAGAATAAAACTTAGTGTGGTCTATTAACTATATGTAAGTATCCAACTGATGCAAGGTAGAAAGAAATTAGAGAGGTACATAAAAGAGAGGTCTGAGTGTGTCAAGCCACGTCACGGATGTGGTGGCAACGATAAACAAAAAGTCTAAGCCACCACCTCCACACACACACACAACAAAGAGTTGCAGGCGATAGACGACAACACGCCTTGACAGCAAAGACGAACCAAATAGGTTAAAGTGAATTGATAAAACGAAAAATGTTTTCGAGAACAATCAAGCCCATAAAGCCTAATTAATTATTTCGTTCCCCCCTGGCAATGACCTCGCCTCGCCTTACCTTACATGTTCTGCAGGGACGCACGGGAGTTAATCTTCTTTGAGCAAAGAGTTGTTGTTCGCCCCCCCCGCCCCTTTCGAAGCAACGAAGCAACTTCTTCTCACATTCGACAAATGGTATGCGGGACGTTGTTCTAAAACCGACTTGTCTCGTATTATTATCCATAAATAATGAAACGATTAGAAGAATGAAAACTGATTGGGAGACAAAAAGTAGTGCCGTGCCGCGGCGTCTCGCTTTCATGATGTCAGACTTCTCCTAGATTGCCAATGATGATGTCTGGGGCGACTAATACCCCCCTCCTATTCCATGAAACCCTGCTAATTACCAATGTCCGCCGGTTCTCCTTCTCGAATTCCTGTCCCAACGAGCGATTCGCCAAGTTTCATTGGTCAATGGCCGACATGAACTTCTGCATGGTTAGAGACTAATTAGAACGGGGGTTGTGCATATACATTGTGACTTATTTTACGTAGGTAATTACTGGTCTTTGTAGTGGAAAGTTAACCCGCGAACTCCAGAGTCGCTGTTATTAATAAGAGACGACACTCGGCTTCAAGTAATTACTGCTCGGCGCCCCCTACATGGATAATAATATTACATCAATAGGATGGCACACTATCTGAGTGCGTGTCAGGGTATGATGCCGTCGAACTTACCCCTATTTCCGTGTCCGTGACACATATGTACAATAATCCCCTCCGCTATGAACACCACACCGAGGACATGTCCGTGCCCACTGCGGCTCTTCTATGGGAAGCAACTTCTCGTTCAAACCGTTCGCTCGGTCGTCTATATGTTACTTATCGATGGTGTTATCCTTGCAAACCTATGTTCAGGATAATATATACACCTTCCTCTTCTTTGTTAGGTCATGTTCTTGCCTCACCTCACCTCACCTCATCTCACCTTTGGTGTCCGTAAGAAGGCATGGAGTGCGGGATGCCAGGACTGTGAGAGCGACCCAAATAATTCCAAGAATTAAAAAAAAAAAGGCTAGGCGGCAGAAAGGGCAAAAGTTCTAGATATGCTCAATGATAGATTCTTCCCCGGGGCAATTCGGGATGAGTGAATGACTACTTGTGTGTGTAGACAGTGTCATGCTCTATGCATTAATCTGTGTAAAATACCTCTTGCGAATGACGACTTAACTCCCCTTAATTATCACGTATGATCCCGTGCTCCCTGTCCTAATCCCAGTTCAGCGAGTTCTAGTAACTTAATTGGTCAATTGCTGTAATTATCCTACCCGACACGATTAATTAACGCCCTCCTGCATGGTGTGAACTGTCCAGACACTTGAGAGCCCGTTGTTGTTGTTGTTGTTGTGCCTCTCTTCCATACCTTCCCCTTATTTACGCGCGCATGTATGGAATGTTGATAATTACTGGTGGGTTTTTTACTTTACTTTTTTTTGCTATCTGATTGATGTTTAAGGTATTAATTATATCACCGCCGTTAAACTACCCCCCCTAATTCCCATATATGTACAAAGAACGTATCCATATCCCATATCCGGTGGTGGGCTTCGTGTCAGATACTTACCTCCCGTCCTGCGTCTGCATTACAACTTCAGGGTGCATGGTCTAGTGGTATGATTTTCGCTTCGCATTTGTCATTAATACCTCAAGTGAGGCAAAGGTGATATGCGCGCTTTGTGAAAGGTCCCCGGTTCGATCCCGGGTGCATCCATGCATATCCCGCGTCAGGTTTTTTTTTTTTTTTGTGTTTCTATTATATCTTCTCTCACTTTATTGTTAACATGGACATGGTCCTCCTCCCCCATCCTACCCGATAGATACTTTTTCTTTTATTTTATTTTTATTATCTCAACGTTCTTCATTTCTTAGGTACTAATGGGTGGATGGTGTCTCGTTCCTTCCTCGTTCCTTTCTTGTCTTAACATCATCCCGTGACATTCCATCCCAAAACAACGGATACGTACCTAGGCAAAGTGGCAAGCAACCACATGATATGTCTAGGAGTTAATAATATTAACTAGGTTGGTAGGTTCCATGGTTTACCTTGCTCGGTTCGATGTTCTTCCGGCTCATGGTGAGTTGAGTGGTTGACATGAGCCACTAACTACACTTCAATGGGATAATTATCTAATTAATTTGTCTGATACACGATTCCGGTAGATATTAACTTCTGCTTGTCATGGAGTGGGTATAGCATATTACTGCCCGGGCAAACAACCACCCCTATTCCGGCTGTCTCTTCGTATCCAACCCCTCCTCCTCCTCCTCCTCGATTCTTGCCCCTGCCTACGTGCCCTTTCCCAACCAATCCAAATCCACCGATTCGCTTTTGGTCAATGGGGCCTGTCATGCTGACCGATATAAGGTGTCTAATTAATTACATGGTAAAACACACCATACGCCGAAGAGTCGGTACTCTCTCTGCCTGGATATAACCTGCCTGCCAGCCGGTTCAGATCTGAATAAAGGTCAAAGTTTCATTCCCTTGCTTGTCCAAGATAAGGGGGGCTCCTCCTATTTTATGCACCATATAGAAAAAAAAAAAAATACAAAGTCGCTATCATAACCAAACCACTCTAAAACCGGCAATTGTTTTCGTGTTCAATGACCCTGCCCCCCCTACCTACCTACCTTACTAATCCCTACCAAACCCGCCCTCAACCCTCCCCAACAAGAGAGAGAGAGCGCAAGTTTAACCTTGCCCCCAGATCCGGGGAGATTAGCCAGTTAACTCCAAGTAGCCGGTTCGTCCGAATGTATGTCGTATCCCAACCGTTATATTGTTATAACGGGCTACATGGTAAATGATAGGTACCCACAGACTGAGAGAGAGAGAGAGAGCTATTACACCTCCCCCCTTTTTCCTACGTCACAAATGGAGTTCACAAACTGCCCAAGACCCATACATAAGCTAGTTTACTAGTTTATCACACCTTTTCACCGATAGCGATATTGCGCTTGAATGTACTCGATATGTTTGTGTTTTCTCCTTTTTTTGGAGGGGGCTTTTATAAATATATATCTAGAAAAGAAAATCACTACCGACGTTATATACCATTTAAAAGAAATACACTTTTTTGTAAAACCACGCTCAGACACGGATAATCATAACAATGAACCCGCTATCCCCAGTTTCCCACCATCCCTGTCCCAATCCCACATCCGCTTTTTATGCCTATCCATGCCCCCATTCCATTTCAATATATATATATATATATATATATATATAGAACCAAGCTTTGATGCGCCGTTCGCCGTGTTCACCCGTGCCAGTTTGTCCCAACTGTGTGATTGTCGTTACCTTTGAGCCCGTATCCAAACACTGTAACCTGAAAGATCTTGCTTGTCCTGATCTAAACGCTGTTCCACACCGTTCGCCAGTTTGTTCCAGTTGTCCCAAACGCTAATGGGTATCCTAACACCAAAGTTGTCATGGTAGTAATCGTTGCCCCGTATCCTTAACGCCTTTGTCATGTTGTCGTAGTGGTATCCCTGAATCGTATCCCTGAATGCTCAACGCTGAGATTTCGACCTTGATTTCAACAACGCCCATAGATTAAACTCCGAAACCCAATGAGTTTTTAACCCCAAACCAATTTACTCCCCCCCACGTGTTCTGCTTTCTTCTAGTTATCCCTTGAACAACGAGGGGGCGCTTGAAGTCGAGTCACCATTTTGCTGGGAGAATTAAACGGACATTGGTCCAACAGGTTTCTGTCTCCATCCGTCTTGTGAAACTCCCAGATCCCTCGGAACCCGGCGCCCCTTCTGAAACCCGAGTACTGAACTCCACAGGCGAGCTGGTACGCCATCCAGTACACGTCCTCCTTGCAGGGGTCCACTGCGGCTCTCCAAAAGGGGACCTCTTCTCCCGCGAGTCTCGGTTCCGGGCCGTAGTTTAGTCCTGGCTTATCGGTAGGGAATTGGATGGGGTCAGCCATCAGTGGTCTTGCTTTCAGTGCTGCCCTCCCCCCGTTTCCTTCGGTGCTTTTAGCCGGGTTGCGAGCCCTCTCTTCCTCACTGAAAGCAAGCCAGCCCCCCATGGCAAGCAGTTGCGCACTCTCTCGTCTGTTCCCGTTAGGTCCAGTGAGGTGATTGATCTGGCCAGGCTTCTGGTCAAAAAACCCGTCTTCGTCGATGCCCCGGGCAGACACTGCAACCAGCCGAACCACATAAATGCTTGACTGTTTAATGAGCTCAACATACTCGGGATCTTTTTCCGTCAAACGCCGCCAATTCATATCCCGCGACGCTCTAGCGGCTTCTTCTTGCTGAGCCCGGGGGACATCTGACTCAGAAGAATCAGAAATATCTGAAGAATCTGCTGAATAAGAAAATTCCGAAGAAAGTTCCGAGTTTGAGTCCAAATCTGGGTAAGGGGCAGGGTCACGAGAGCCAAAAGGGGGGTTGAATTGACGCGAGACTCTCGCGCTTCCGGCTGCTGGACCGCTTGATGGAATCTTGCGAGTGCCAGCTACTGCACAGCTCCATAGCCGTCCCGCTTCCTCTTCCAGGTTCTCGAGCTCCTCCGCCGGCCTCGTTGATAGTGTCCCGAGACGGGCGGTGAGAATGGTCTGGGGGGAGGGAATATACTCGGCAAGAGTATGGGTTTGGTCTTCGTAGCACGTGGCTCCCTTCTTATAACATGGTAGGCAGATATTGTAGTCGCCATAGCAAATGTTGCAGTGGAACCTGTGCACGAGTCGGAAATCTTCGCCGCATTCCCCGCACGTCCATATAGTCGATCGGATCTCGGGAAGCGCGGGCGTTTTCAGACGCTGAACTTGTACGGTGTTGCAGCCTGACTTCGCCTTATCTTCGGGTGAGATGGAGCTGCTGGCGGGCAAAGCGGACGGGTTTGGCTGCTCCTCCGTCTGATTTGCTGTGTCTTTGCTGCTATCGTCGTGCATCTCAGGACGCCTAATCTCTTCGTCGGACGAGGGAGGCGAAGGGATCTCGTCACGAAAGGCGTGCGGAGGGAGATACTCGGTCAGTGCATGTGGAGGATTGCCGCAGTGCATTCCCTGGCGCTGGCAGTAGCCGCAGAGATTGAAGTTGCCGTCGTTGCATATCTTGCAGTTGAACCTCCGCGCGAGACAGAATGTGTTGCCGCATTCCATGCAGGACCACTTTCCCCTAAATGTCTCAAGCAAGGCTGGTCTTGGCGCCTGAGCTACTTCCATCGGCTGTGTTTCCTCAGAAATGGATGGTGCTGGCTCATTGGTGTCTGGACTGCCGAGCGCGGGGCTCAGCCTCGTCTGATCGGTGGTGCTGCTGCTGCTCGCGTGGTGTGTTCCTGTCTCGGTCTCAGCCACCGCTGCGCCTGGATTGTCCACCTCCATCAGGTCGCCATCGTCCTGGGTCGTCTCGCCTCGCGTCTCAGTGCTATCAAAGCTCGGCGATAGACGAAGACGGGACGTATTATCGGGACTGATATCAGCAACAGCTTTCCTCTTGCCGTTGCACTTGCCATCGGGCTTCGTCTGATCCGAGGAAGCCTCCTTGCCCGTCGTGGCGTCGCTGTCGCTGCCGGTGTCGCTGTCGGTGCTACCAATGCCGACAACCGTGAGCCAGGCTTGTCGATAGTCTATGCCACAGCTCTCCATCAACGCCTCATCGGCACAAGGAATGCGCTTGATCTGTATTTCGACAAACGCGAAGCGCTCTCCCCACTGTAATTCGACCCAGTCGCCATAGAAAGAGGCTTTGCCCCACTGCAACAGACATACAGAATTAGCGGCACCATCTTCAATCGAGAGCCGAGGGAGTTTCACATTTTCTCCTTCCTGCGACCAGTCCAGAAGATTCTCTCCCACGTTGTTCGTTGCTTCATACAGACTGAGCTCGGGGATCTTCCCGAGCAATATGCGCCCCATTTGATCCCAGCCCACGAACGACAGAACTGGCTGTTCCCTCCTTCCCGTCGGGCTAGGGGCCAGTGGCCGCGCCTGACTCTTGTCGCCGTCAACTGTGGATTCCGAGGAGTCGCTGTCGACTGGGTCATCATCCCCATCAGGTTCGAACAATGCTAAGGGCCGCGGTCGAGGTGAAGGAGGTGGGCGATCAGGTACTGGTGGGATGGGGTAACTGTCTCTCAGCGCGGGGTCAATGACGGACTCTGCGTCCACGTTGCCGTCTGCCGGTTCCCGAGTTAAGGCTCCATCTTGGATTGGCTCTTCGGTGTTTGTCGGCGCGGATTGGCCAACGCGTGGGCCAACGGCTACATCAAGACTGTTAGTCTCCATGAGAAAGAACTTGCGGGAAGCCGAATCAGCGTCCGGCCCGAAAGTTGGGAGGGAAAGGCTAAGGTGAAGGAAGGAGCAGAGTAGAGAAGGAAAGCACGAATTGGTGCATGTCGATGTGAACAAGCGGTGTGGGCCAAAAAAAGCTAAGGCCCGAGAAGTGAAGTTTTGCACTGATTACAGGTGACGTGCCTAGAATATTGGATGACACACCTTGATCATTACCATCACCCTCCACCGCCTGGCCAGAGGCTGACCCAGTCGGCCGTATTGCCCTACGGCTGATTTCTCTTAGCATACTTGCACGCCCTATACGGGCGGCGCGGGCCTTCAATTTATTTCTGAACACCTCCGCCCGAAGATTCTCTCTGTCTGTTCTATTTATTGTTAGTTTTGTCTGTCTTCAACGTCGATGTAGAGCATGTGCGAGAGGACGAGAGGACTGGCGTCTGGGATAGTGACCATACGT